TATATATATATATATATATATATATATATATATATATATATATATGCAGCAGCAATTCTGTATTTAAAACAGACACAGCCGCAGCAGCCTCCTTCCTTGTCCCCTCATCAGAGACAGCTGCAGCAGCAGCAGCAGCAATTCTATATATATATATATACAGCAATTATATATGTAAAACAGAGACAGCAGCAGTAGCAGTCTGCTTCGTTCTATCAAAGGCAGCAGCTGCTGCGTGAGTCTCCCCCTGGAGAGACAGAAGGAAGCAGCAGCAGCAGCAACAGCAACAGCAGCAGCAGCTGCTGCTGCTCTCAACAGGTTAGAGAGGAGACAGCAGCAGCTGCCCCCACCAATGTACAGAGGAGACAGCGGCTGCTGTCTCTGCTGCTGCTCCTGCTTCGGTCTAGCACCAGCAGCAGCAGCAGCAGCAGCAGCAGCATCAGCCGCCTTGGATTTAAAACAGAGATATACATAGCAGCAACTGTGAGGTGTATGTACACCTCATGATAAGACAGACAAATAAACAAAACGGGGACCCCCCTCTGTCTTCTCATCCCCAGCAAACAGAAATTATCCACGCACTACTCTTGCTGCTGCTGCTGTTGCTGTTGCTGCTGCTGCTGTTGCTGCTGCTGCTGTTGCTGCTGCTCTTGGTGCTGGTGCTGCTACTGCTGCTGTTTCTGTTACTGCTGCTGCTTCTGTTGCTGTTGCTGCTGCTGCTGCTGTTGCTGCTGTTGCTGCTGCTGTTGCTGTTGCTGCTGCTGTTGCTGTTGCTGCTGCTGTTGCTGTTGCTGCTGCTGTTGCTGCTGCTGAGAAGCCCCCTATTGCTTGCCCCCCAATTTGGTTTGAAGCGTCCGCGTCTTCTCACGCATGCAGCAGCAGCAGCAGCTTGTGCTGCTGCTGGTGCCTGTGCATTTTATTTCTGCTGCAGCAGCACGTGCTGCAGCAACCGCTGCTGCTGCTGCTGCTGTTGCTGCTTTGGCGGCCTGAGGTCTACTAGGAGACATGTTACGTTATCTCTGCTGCGGCGTACATCAATTGCTTCTGCTACAAGTGCTTCTGCGACCTCCTGCAGCGCGCTGCTGCTGCAGCAGCCTTGCTGCTGCTGCTGCTGCAGCATCAGCTTGCTGCGAACAAAGGAGACAGCCTCCTGGCTACTCATAACATCAAAGAGACCATCGCATGCAAGCAATACGAATTCATCCTCAGGTCGTAGGAGGACGCTGCGCACTTCAGGCTCTGCAATAACGAGCTGCTTGCTGCTGCTGCTGCTGCTGCTGATGCTGCTGCTGCTGCTGCTGCTGCTGCTCGGTGTGGGGTGCTGGTGAGAAGCAGCAGCAGCAGCCCAGCCGTACTTATAATGCCTGTCTCCTAACGACCTAGAGACTCCTAGCCTCCCAAGCACTCTTCTTTGTCTTACATGCCCCCCTGCTGCAGCAATTCGTGCAGCTTCATCAACTCTATCAGGCCGATGGTCTCTAGATAAATCTACAGCAGCACCTCGTCGAGAGAGACAGGCTCGGCTGTCTCCGCAGTTAGCACACAGCAGCAGGCCCCCCACAATTAATATCGTAACAGCAGCACTACCGCTAACCTGATGAGGTAGAGAGACAGATAAAAATAATTTATCTGTCTTCAGAAAAGCATCAGAAAAACATTTACAGAGATCCCTATACACCGCAGCAGACAGCTCTATGCTGCCGCAGCAGCGCAGCACAGCTTGCTGCAGCTGTAGATGTAGCTGCTGCTGCACATACACCGCACAGTCTCCTCCGCCGTGCCCATCGTATACACCGTAAAAGGAGACAGGTATTGAAGAACTCAGCAGCAAATTATCTATCATTATTTCTTTGTCCTCCATCGACGATCGAAAGCCCTGACTTGCTGCTGCTGCAGCAGCAAAACGCAGCACAACCCAAAGCACGCACCCCACACCCCACAGTCGGTCCCCGCTACGCCCTGGCTGCAGCGACCATGAAGGTAGCTGCACCAGCACAGCACCCATCTTGCTGCTGCTGCTGCTGCTGCTGCTGCTGATGTTCCTGTTGTTCCTGCTGCTGTTGCTGCTGTTGGGGCCTTTGTGTGTCATCACGTAATTCACTTCGGATTGAGCTGTGCTGCTGCGAGCAGCAGCAGCAGCAGCAGCAGTAGCAGTCGAACCCCAGCAACGGACCGCAGGGGCCTGTTGCTGCTGCTGCTGCTGCTGTTGCTGCTGTTGCTGCTGCTGCTCCTGCTGCTGCTGCGGCAGCAAACGGATTTGATAAACACCATTAATAAAAGCAATAAAAAAGGGGGGGAAATCCCCAGGAAGAGAAATGCAGGCGCCACGCTGCTGCTGCTGCTGCTGCTGCTGCTGCAGTTGCTGCTGCAGCTGCCGCGTTTGCTGCAGCCGCACGGCCCACGACTTCCTGGTGCTTCCTCTTGCTGCTGAGCTCTCTTCATCGCTGCTGCTGTCGCTGTCACTGCTGCTGCTGCTGCTGCTGCTGTCGCTGCTGCTGCTGCTGCTGTCGGCCCCCACAAGCCGCCGCAACTCGCGGACGCCAAGGGAAGCCCAACGCAACTGCTGTTTGCTGCTGCTGCAGTGGCTGCTGCTACTACTGCTGCTGCCGTTGCTGCTGCTGTTGGTGCTGCTGCTGCAGCTACCCTCACACTTGCTGTAGGCGTTGCAAAGGAATTTGCTGCCTGCTGCTGCTGCCGTTGCTGTTGCTGCAGCTGCTGCATCCCCAAATTCCCCCGCCATATGCACAGTTCGACATGGCTGCTGCTGCTGCTGCTGCTGCTGCTGCTGCTGTTGCAGTTGCTGCTGCTGCTGCTGCTGCTGCAGCAAATGCTCCGGCAGCAAGCGGCTGGTAAGCGGAGCTGATGGGAAACTCCGGGTGAGCGACCTACGTTGCTGCTGCTGCTGCGGCTGCTGCTGCAGCTGCAGCAGCAGCTGCTGCTGCTCTGCAGGGGACTGCAGCAGCTTCGCCTCATATGCAGCAACTGCAGCAGAGGAGAGAAAAGCTGTGGGTGGGCTAGCCTCCCCTACGCCGGGCGGTGCTGCTTCTCTCTGTGCTGCAGTTGCTGCTGCTGCAGTTGCTGCTGCTGCAGTTGCTGCTGCTCCTGTTACGGGCGGCGAAGCAGCTGCTACCAGTGGAGAAGAAGGCGTGGGAGCAGCAGCGGTGAAGAAGCCCGAGGCCCTCGTATGGGCTGCTTCTGCTGCTGCTGTTGCTGCTGCTGCAGTTCCTGCTGCTGCTGCTGCTGCTGCATCTGCTGTCGGTACAGCAGCAGGTAGCGGAGCTGCGGTTTGTGCAGCAACACACAGCGCGGCTGTGGGCTGGCGGGAGTCGGAAGGTGCAGCAGCAGGGGATGAGGGATCTGCTGCTGCTGCAGTTGCTGCTGCTGCTGTTGCTGCAGCTTCTGCTACTGCTGCTTCTGCTGCTCGGATATCTACTGCAGCAGAGAGCGGGGAAACACGTGGAGAGGCAACTGGGGCTGCAGCAGCTTCTGTAGCTGTTACTGCTCCGTCTGCTGCTGCTGCTGCTGCTGCTGCTGCTGTTGCACTCAGCTGCTGATCCGGCGCCTCATAGTCTGCTGCTGTTGTTGGTGCTGCTGTTGCGGTTGCTGCGGCAGGCTGTTGGGCTGCAGTTGCTGCTGCCTCTTCTGCTGCACTTCCTGCTGCTGCTGCTGCTGCTCTTGGCAGTGGGGCTTCTGCTGCAGCTGTCACTGCTCGGTCTGATGCCGAATCTGCTTCTGCAGTTGTTGCTGCAGTTGCTGCTGCTGCTGCGGCAGCTACTGTGGCTTCCGCTGCCGCTTCTGGTGCTTCTGCTGCTGCTGCTGGTGCCTCTGCTGCTGCTGCCTCTGCTGCTTCTGTTGGCGCTTCTGCTGCAGCCTCTGCTGCTGCTTCTGCTGCAGCTGCTGCTGTTGCCTCCGCAGCTGCTGCTGGTGCTTCTGGTGCTGCTGCTGATGTGTCTGCTGCAGCAGCTGCTGCTGCCGTTTGTGAGGGAAGACTCTCAACCTCAACTTGCTGCTGCTCTACAGCAGCAACAGCAGCAGCAGCAGCAGCAGCAGTTTTAGGTGTTGTTGCTGCTGTAGCTGATTGATGTGCGGCCTGCTGAGGCTGCTCGCCTCTCCCCATCTGCTGCGGCGCTGCTGCAGTTGTTGCTGCAGCTGGCGATGAAGCTGCTGCTGCTAAGCAGACCTCACCAAGAGCTGCAGCAGCAGCAGCTGCTGCTGCAGGGTTGAAGGAAGCTTTCTCTTTCCCTCTTGCTGCGACAACCTCACCATCCTGTACTGCTGCTGCTGCTGCTGTTGCTGCTGCTGCTGCGTCTTCATCCCGTTTATGGCCAGCTGGTGCTGCTGCTGCTGCTGCGCTGCTGTGGGAGGGAGACTGCTGAAATAAGGGGCCTTCTGCAGGCCGCTGCAGGCATCGATGAGTGTCACCTGCTTCTGTTGCAGTTGCTGCTGCTGCTGCTGCTGCTGCAGCTGCAGCAGCAGCAGGGCTTTGCTCCTTGCGGTCTATGAAGCTCTCAAGTTTGCTGGTGCTGGTGCTGCTGCAAGAAACATCAGGTGCTACACAAGCAAGCTGCTGTTGCTGCTGCAGCAGCGATTGCTTCTGCTGCTGTTGCGGCTGGCTTTGCTGCTCTTGGGAGCAATGCTGCTGCTGCTGCTGCTGCTGCTGCTGCTGCTCCTGCTGCGGCGATTCATCTATCGACACTCCCCCCATATCCACATCCTGACCCTTAAGCTGTTGCTGCTTCTCTTCTTGCTGTTTCTGTTCTTGCTGCTGCAGTTCTTGCTGCTGCTGCTGCTGCTGCTGCTGCATGCGGTGCCGCTTCGCCTGCATCCACTTCTCCTGCCCCGTCCCTGCGACAGGAGACTTCAGCGTTCGTTGATCGCCCCACAAGCTGCTGCTGTTGCTGCTGCTGCTGTTGCTGAACTTGCGGCAGCTGTTGCTGTTGCTGTTGCTGCTGCTGCTGCTGCTGTTGCTGCAGGTCGCGCGGGTGCTGCTGCGGCTGCTGGTCTCTCTGCAGCTATTCCTGCCGCTACGGATGGCGCTGCTGCCGACTCTGCGAACAAGTGCGCCAGCTGTTGCTGCTGTTGCTGCTGTTGCTGCTGTTGCTGCTGTTGTTGTTGCTGCAGCGGCAGCAGCAGGTGAGTAGCTTAGCTGCAAGCCCAGACCGCCACCACTGACGCTGCTGCGGCTGCTGCCGTAGGCTGGCGTTGCTGCTGCAGGTGCTGCTGCTGCTGCTGCTGCTGCTGCACCTGCAGGGGCTTCTTTTTTAAGTTCTACGGGAGTCCGTTGCAGCCTTGGCGGTGCTGCTGCTGCTGCTGCTGCTGCTGCTGCGCGCTGCTGCTGCAGCAGCAGCAACTGCTTCGGCAGCAGCAGCGGCGGCCGGGCCAAATGAGTGGTGAGGGATGCAACAGGGGTGTTTCCTGCTGCTGTTGCTGCAGCAGCAGGAGCTGGCTTAGCAGCAGCAGGAGCAGGAGGAGAAGCAGCAGCAGCAGCAACCAGAATCCCTGCCCAAGAGATAGCAGCAATCCTCTCTCGTGTCTCTGCATGCAGCAGCAGCAGACGCTTGCTGCGGATATCTGAAGGTAAGAAGTAATGAAGGTCTGCGCAGGCAACAGCCCAACGCACCCACTCCCCTGGAGACACCTCCTCCTGCAAACTGCTGCTGCTGCTGCTGCTGCTGCTGCTGCTGTTGCTGCTGCTGCTGCTGCTGCTGGGGAGGGGAGGGAGCAGAGGAGGAATGACGGCTGGTGGGGGCCGCGGCTGCCAGTAGTTATTCGTGTGCTGCTGCTGCTGCAGCAACGGGGGCTGCTGCAGGTGCTGCTGGTGCAGCAGCAGCCGCTGCCGCCGCTGCTGTAGCAGTACCGCATGCTGCTGCTGCTGCTGCTTCTGCTGCTGCTGCTGTGGGGGCCTCCTCCGAGGCGTGAAGAATAACTCCGGGCCTAAACTGTACAGACACTCCAGCGGATGAGCGGCACACCAGCTGCAGCAGCTGCTGCTGTTGGTGTTGCTGCTGCTGCTGCTGCTGCAGAGCGAGGTGTCTACTGTGCGATCAGCAGGGCTATCCAGTGGGCTTGTGATGGTCTCAGGTGTACACGCAGCAGCAACGGTGGTGCTGCCGCTGCTGCTGTTGCTGCTACCGCCCTTTTTATACGAAGGGCTGCTGCTGCTGCTGCTGCTGCTGCTGTTGCTGCTGCCGCTGCTGCTGCTGTTGCTGCTGCCGCTGCTGCTGCTGCTGCCGCTGCTCTCTTTGACGGAGCCGAGGCTCTGTGCGCTACAAAGGCTTGCTGTTGCTGCTTCTGTTGCTGCTGCTGTTGCTGCTCCCGTCGAAGGGCCAGCAGCAGCAGCAGCAGCAGGAGTTCGTGCCCGCTCGGCAACAGACACGTCTCCGCTTGAACTATTCACAGGGCTTCCTGCAGCTGCTGCTGCTGCCCCTTCGGCTGCTGCTTCCGCAGCTGTTGCTGCGGCTTCCGCTGCTGCTGTTGCAGCAGCAGCAGCTGCTGCTGCTGCTTCAGAATCGGGAACTCCTTCGCTGTTTGTATCCTCCTCGCAGCAGCAGCTGCTGCTGCATGCAATAATGCTGCTGTTGCTCTGGCTGCTGCAGCCGCTGCTAGTCGTGAGGTCTAGCGGCTGTGATGCTGCTGCGTCAGTTGCTGCCTTCTTCTCAACTGCTTCTGCTGCTGCACCTGCTGCTGCATCTGCATCTGCATCTGCTGCTGCTGCATCTGCTGCTGCTGCTGCATCTGCTGCCGCATCTGCTGCTGCACCTGTTGTTGCTTGAGGAGGTACCGCTGAGTTTGCTGCTGCTGTACGCACACCCTGAACCCTTGGCCTACTTCCCAGCAGCTGCTGCAGCCTCCCCCTGCTGCAGCAGCAACCCCGCTGCTGCAGCAGCTGCTGCAGCTTGCTGCGCACTGCACCAGCCAAGTGCTGAAGCCCATACACCTCTAAAAACTCTAGCAGCAAATCTCTGTTGCTGCTGCTGCTGTTGCTGCTGCTGCTGCTGCCCTCTGGGCCTTCCATCTCCAGCAGCAACGTGGGGGCCCCCTGCAGCTGCAGCCGCTGAACACGAGGTCCGCAGCTTCCTGCTGCTGCTGCTGCTGCAGCAGCAGCAACACAAGATACCGCCAGTGGCGTCGGTCTGTCTTCGCGCACCTCCAGCCACATAACTGCAGCGCAGCAGAAACAGCAGCAGCAGCAGCAACTCTACTTGCAAGGGCAGCAGCAACAGGAAACTGCAGCAGCATACAGCTAAAGGAGCTGCTGCTGCAGCAGCAGCAATGACACTTGAACGAGCAGCAGCAACAGCAAACTGCAGCAGCAGAAAGTTGGGGAAGCTGGAGCAGCAGCAGCAACAGCAGCAGCAGCAGCAGCAGCAGCAGCAGCAGCAGCAGTCGCCAACACCAAACTCACTGTCTTCCGGAGGCGTCTTGGGCGAAGTGTCTTCCTGATCCTGCTGTTGCTGCTGCTGCTGTTGCTGTTGCTCCTGCTGTTGCTGCTGCTGCTCCTGCTGCTGCTGCTCTTGCTGCTGTTTGTCTTGCTGCTGCTGCTCTTGCTGGACCACTTCAGTGCGCCGACGCTGCACATCGGGATGCTCTGAAGCTGCTGGTGCTGCAGCAATAGCAGCAGCAGCAGCAGCAGCAAGCGGAGCATCGTGCGGCAGCGCATGCAGCTCTCCCTTACGGCTGCCGCTGCTGCACTGCAGCAGCAAATGTCTACGCAGCAAAGGTAGAGCAGCAGCTGGACAATCTGCTGCAGCAGATGAGGGCAAAGACAGCGGAGCTAAGTGCCGCTGCGCAGCAGCTTTGGGGGAGTTACCCCCCCCTACTAAGGCTGCCATGCGCCACATGCTGCTGCTGCTGCTGCTGCTGCTGCTGCTGCTGCTGCTGCTGCGGTTTCATTCGCTGCTGCTCAGGCTGTTCCTCCTTGGGAATTGCCTGGCTGCTGCAGCTGCTTCGAGCTGCAGCAGCAGCAGCAACAGCAGCTTGAACAGCAGCGCCCTAATGAGCGCTAGCTTGGCAGTCACATGGCTCCTGCTGCTGCTGCTGCTGCTGCTGCTGCTGCTGGTGCGAATGAACACTCCCAGAGTCCCTAGACATGCATGTATACCCTCCGGTCTAGAGCTGCTGCTGCTGCTACTGCTGCTGCCGCCCCC